AATGCGAAGTCCTAAGCCCGAGGCAGCATAGACCCGTCTGGCCAGGGAATCTATTTTCCGGCCCTCCTTATCCCTCGGCGCCGTATGTCCGCTCGCCTCCCTGCCTTGCGAGGATTCGACGACCGCCGAGTTTGGTTTTGGGTGCTTTAATAGGAAGGGAATGTCTTCTTCCCTGACCCTGTACATAGATTCATATCTCCTAGACGTCGGCTGGGGATGTGAAGGCAGGTCCCAGGGCTGCGTCATCGCCTGCCGCAGAGTAGTTATAAGTGGCAGGACGATAGAAGTTGATTGCTCCCCGCGGACGACGTCGTAGAACTTATCCGTCGACGGTCCCGGGCGCTGGGCAGCGTCGATGTCCAGGGACTGGACAAGCCTCGACATCAGCTCCGTGAAGGAGACGTGTGACTCATCAGGTGACGCAGGATCCTGGGATGTCACCACGACGTCCGGAGAAGTTGAATCTACGTCAGAGTCATCCGAATCAGCACCATAATATGGCGGGGCAGAAGATGACGACTCCGCCGGTGATAAGGAGCGGCTGCTTCCGCTTCGCAGGGATCGAGGCGGCACCCTCCTCGAATCCACAGCCCGGGGCGGAGGTGAGGATCGCGCTCTGGGAGCAGGGTAGTATCCCACAGAGAGCGGGTCTCCCCAAGGTTGGTAGTAGGGACGACGCCAACTCTCCGGGCGTTGTTCTACCGAGCGGCTCCTCCGATTCCCTGGTGGGGACACGCCAGCTTCTGTCTCCAATGTCACCGCGGGCATCGGTGTCGGTGACCTCGCTCTGGGAGGGGAGTCCTGAATTTCCCCATCCGAGATAGACCCCCGTAGAATTGGAAGGGGTGCTGGCGGGAGGTCAACCACACGTCGGGGAGACCCCTGAGGGGTGACCCGCATAGCCTCTTGGAGGATCAGTTCGGGCGGGGTCGGTATCGTAACCGCCACCGGTACCGAAGGGCCTGTCGGTCCCGAATCCCGATCTTGGGGACGATCCGTAGGCTTAGCCTTCTTTGGAGGCTTAGAGGCCTTTTCCTTTCTGGCCTTCTTATGGCCTGCCGGCTTGTCCTCAGCATGTTTGCGCTTCTCATGCCTCTTTTTTGGTGAGGCAGAGGGGGCCAGCGAAGCGGACGCGCCTTCGTCCGATGGGCGTGAAGGAGGCACAGAAGCGGAGCCCGGTTTTGGGGTAGGGATGAGCGGGTCTGATTGCATCAGAGCCCTATCCCAAAGGAGCCTCCGAAGCCGGTTTTCGCGGTTCTTCCTAGCCTGTTTAGAGAAGGCTAGGCAGTGAACACACTTATCCGTCCTATGCCCTTCCCCAAGGCAGAGGAGGCATAGGTCGTGCGGATCGGTCGGTGCCATCTTTGACCCGCAATCAGCACATTTGCAGAAAGCCGCCCGCTGCGCCATCGCAGAAAGAGGAAGAAAAGAGAGATAGTGCAGAGGGTAAGTATATATTTTTTTGAAAAACGAAGTAACAGGAAAGTAGTTTAAGGGCAATATATATAGAGAGAGAACCAGAATGGCCAAAGCGAAGGACGAAAGCGGCGCGAGGCACAGTGAACGGCGGTCGCAAAGACTGAACAAATGGCGGACGCTCCGCTCTTTATAGCCTGTGGGGGAGGGGAGCGGAGCTTCCCGCCAAAAACCGTTAGCTTTCAATCTTCCGGCCAAAGGCACTGCGCAGGCGCAGCACCCATATGTGTGATGCACAGAGGCCACGACGAAGAACTGGATTTTCTAGCTACGATGAAATCAAAATTCAGATGGAAAACTTTTCTTTGAATATTTGCAAATAAGGCTTTATGTTGCCAAATTGAAAAATCATTTTCTTAGTTACTGTAATTGAGAGAGTTCAAAAAACACCTTATATTATAAACTCTAATATATGTCACAAAATGTCAAAAACATTTACAGTGGTACCTTGGCTCACAAACTTAATCTGTTCCACGATTCTGGTCGCGACCCGAATTAGTCACAAGCCAAGTCAAATTTCCCCATAAGGTTCAATGTAAATAAGATTAATCTGTTCTTTACCATAACTTTATGTTATATATAAAGGATGGCATATAAAAGTTTTAAATACATAAATGTTTAAAAAAAACCCACAAAAATACAGTATGAGCCACATCCCTGGACTGCAGGCCAAGCTGCAGGTGCCTTGCTGAGCCTGGGGGCGAACGTGGTGAGGAGAGGCAGGAGGCACCCCGCTTAGCCGGGTACGGCCCTGTCTCTCGCCTCCCCTTGCCTTGGCCCGTGGAAAGCAGCCCTTATCTCCCTCCTTGCAGCCCACTCCTGGCTGAGGGAGCCATCCCGCGCTCGCCTCTCCAGCCTCCCCCTCCTGCTCCCCCTCCCAGAACTAGGCGAGCACCTGCAAGGGGACCTTCCTCTGGCTTGGCAGTGGCAAGGAGCCAGGAAGGCCTCGATGCAGGTGAGTGCGCTCTCATGGCTCCCCCTTGTGGTGGGTGGGGAGGAGGTTATTGTCTGGAGTGTTCGTCTGGAGTGTTCGGCAAGGGGCGGCATAGAGATGTAATAATAATAATAATAATAATAATAATAATAATAATAATAATAATTTTCACATTCAAAAAGAAGCTCGAAAAATGTTTGGGGGGAAAAAACCAAAAGTGAAATTGGAGGATCACAACATCCTCTAAAGAACCTATAAACAACTATGCAAAAGCACAAAGCAAAAAGCTCAAAATATCAGACATGTGATCAGACCAAAGGTGTAACTTTTCCAATCTTCTTAACCTACTACCCTTCAGAGGTGTTGCTGTACCACTCACAGGAGTCCTGAAAATGAACATGCTCATTAGGGGGAAAAATGGACTCATATAAAATGGACTTATGTAAAGTGGGGTCATATAAAACTGGAACATGTAATCCTTTTTTATTTGAAGAATGGGGATACATATAGAGACAAGGCAATACTTTCTTTTCGTTCCTGAGGGTAAACTGTTTTATACTTCTTCGTATAACCTGTGCTTATTTCAAAGGTAGGAATGAAACTGACACATTTCATTTTTCATAACAGCATATGTATATGACTGGTAAGCATGCCTAGAAGCAACTACAGAAAGAGCACACCATCACTGGTCTTTAATGGACACTATGGTCCCTCACTTCTTTTCTAAAGCATAGAGAATTAATAGCTGGTGTATCAGTATCTCTGCCATGATCGTTTTGCTATGAAAAATCTGAAAGGTTGAACAAACTTTCAGTACCATTGAATGCAAACACACACTATTTGATTATGCCACCATTGTCAGTAACATGAATAAGGAAGAGCTAGACAGACAACCAATTGCGTTGTTTCAGAGTGATTAGTTTTGCTACTCATTGGAACAGTGAGAGTCTAGGGCAATGGGTATATGATGGAAGAGCAGGGGAAAAGAAGACACTGCAGACAGCACAACAGCATTCAGTATATGGTTTACCCAAGGTGAGGTGATAGACCATACTATGACTCCTGTTACATCTACGCATATTCCTCATACCACTTCAAAGTAAGGGAAATGTGATCCAGGAAGCCCAGCCCTTGTTCTGAAATGGTGCAGAAACAGCAGCAGAGAGGGAAAGCAGGCATCAACAAAAGTAAAAATGGACATATTGGCAAGGACACTTTATGCATTCTTAAAATGCTATTTCTCCATCCGAAATGTTCACATGTGAACATTTAGCACAGATCGACATGTGCAAAGAGGCATAAGATAGAAATCCTGTACCCTTTCTCTGTTGTACAGCTATATATATATGGTTAATTCTAATAATCATGGAGATAGCTTGGTTGCCTTCTCAGGTCCCTAAAGGAATTTTTAAAATTTATTTATTTGTTTGTTTATTTTTCAATTTATATCCTGCCTTTTTCCACAAAGGGTTCAAGGCAGCTTACAGCATTCTCCTCCATTTTATCCCCACAACAACAACCCTGTGAGGTAGGTTGGGCTGAGAGTCTGTGACTGGACAAAGTCACCCAGCTGGCTCCATGGCTGAGTGGGGACTAGAACCCAGATCGTCTTAGTCCCAGTCCCATGCTCTTAACCACTACACCACACTGGCTCTTATGACTTATGCTTAGGACTGTCACTTCACAGATGATGTATGCAATTTTAGGCATTGCATCTTTTTCTTCTCTAAACAAGGGTGGGGGGAAATGTTCGCTCTGACCCACCAATTGACTTTTCAGTGCACAACCTACAGAGGAAGAGTTGCTATTCCTGTATATTTCCAATTGGGTCCATTTTTATGAGAGTTTGGCAAAAAGAAGGAACTCGCAGAGTTCTGTATGTGTTCTCTGCATATAAAGACACACCACATCCCCTTCACAGTAGCAGGCCCACCTGCAGTGGTGTTCCCAAGTGGTGGCCAACCAGCAGGAGGCCTTCAAGACCTCTGAACAGACGCTGGCAGAAAAAACAAACTGAAGGGATTCAAGAAATTTCACCCCAGTCCCCAACATTCAAGTCATTTGTTTATAAGCTCAGCTTCAATTTACGTAGAAATTCAGTATATCTCGATTACACTCCAGAACAATCAGGAAATGAGCACACTCAAAATGGAGAGAGAGAGAGTGAGAAACAGAGGGGGTGGGGAGGGGGGAGGAACTTTCACTTCAGAATGACAAGCATGAAATATTTCAATGCACTGGATTATTTCTTAGATTATTGTGATAAAGTTTCCCCATATTTTTATATGCTCTCCTGCAGTATAGGCAGTTGAGTATCTTGAAAGTTTAATCTACATTTTATTAGAAACCAAGAGGCTCAAGGGTCATTTCTTCATGTCAGAACCTATTCCTAACAGAACAAGCTACTAAGTTCAATGAATATGTGATACAATTCTTTAGGTGTCTAATTAATCTACCATTTTCTGATTTAGGAAGCACATGTTTTTATAGAAAGAAATAAAAATACACACTTATGAATTTATACAAATATAAAACCTGTTATAAGCAGTAGAACTTATAGAAGGTAAGAAATAAAAACAGCCCTTCTTACCTTTCATTCCAAATTTAGAGTGCTTTCCAAACTTGAGAATAATGAGCATAATAACTAAGCCAGTGCATACTAATGCTGCTATCCCAACTACAACATACACCTAAGAGAAGAACAAGATATATTGAATCCAATATTGCAGCATGGACATTAACTTTATCCAAATATTCAAACTGGGCATTTAAAAAAATACAACTTGATCCCCTACACACAGTTCACCACAACAGCAATTACTAGCACTAGTCACGCTGCACTAGGGAGAGCAGAGAATGGTATCCAGTACTGCTCCTACACTGACATCGTTTCTATTCCACAGGGAAAGCACAACTGGAACTAGTTACTCTGACAGTAATCCTAGAAATGAGTGGAAACGTTACTGATGTCGCTTCTGCAAGATGTTGCCACTCTGGCAGAAAACCAACCATTCCCAAAATAGAGGTTGGTAAGCCCTGTGATAAGAAAATTTGAACCAGTAAAAGGTCTAAGGATCAGCTGAAGTGGAACCTTATATATTTCTAACCATCTAGTATTTTCAGTTACCTGGATGCTCACTAAAGCCATTCAGTGTTTTTAATACTAGAGAGAAAAAACCAAAATATTTCTGGCTGTAAATAGGCATTGTATCTGTGAAACTTGAAAGATGTAAATTAGTATGGATACCATAACAGTAGATGTGTCAGTCCAACTATGCAAACTATATTCTCCCTGAAATGCACCAGCTCTTTAAAAAACATGATTGCTTCATAGGATATAAATGCTGGCTAAATGCTCTGCAGTATGGTAAAGGTGGTATCTTATTACAAGATAAAATAGCACGAACTTATAAGACACGTAGTCAGAAAGTCTGCTGAGTTTACAAATCAGGAAACTGTGTATATACTTACAGTGATGCTATCTTCATTGTCTTTGTTTGACACATCCGTAGAAGTAACTCGGTTACTATTATTTGTAGTATCTTCAAAATCATTTGTTGGTGTTCCATAATCCTCTAAGAGAGAAAAAAATATAGTATTTATTTACTTCCTTTAGTAGGGCTTTTTTTAGTCTCTAATAAAAACACTGAACAAGGGGTATGAAAAATTGGAATAAGGATACATTGTTCAGCTCTATCTTCAATATTTTGCCAGAAATACAAAAAGTCAGGAACCATTTGGTCCTGATTTTTCAATTCACATTTCAAGAAAGGGAAAACAAGGAAAGGGAGAGAGAAGGGTAACTGTAGGCGAAGATATTTTTCACAAACTTACAGTGCAATCCTAAACATGTTTATGCAGCACTAAGCCCCCTACATTCAGTGGAATTAACTCTACAAAGTTATGTAGGGAATTACCCTAACAACTGGAGATCGAGATTAAAGGGGAGTAAATCAAAATCTTTATGTATAAAGTTAGTTTGGGATTTGGAGGGAGAAGGAAAGATGGTATCTCATATGCATTATGGGAGGGAATTCTAGCCACAGGGGTCAACTAAGGAGAATGTATGGAAATATTTATGGCCATTTTAGGTAAATAAAGTTACAAATCTTTTTCTGTTTATTCTGTTTTATGTTTTCAAGTATAAAAAAATCAATGCTTAAATTTGAAATAAGGGATACATTTCACAATGAAATATAAAGACTTTCAAAAGCTAAGACCTGGGAACCTTTTGATTAGAAAATGTATATACATTCCATGTGGATAAGTTTTTAAACTGAAACATAATAAACATATATTAGTCCATTAAAATTCAAAATGCTTTTATATCTGTTACATAACTCAAGACATCCCCAAGTGCCAAGAATATTATCTTCTAAATAACATGTACCAGTTAAGGAGGAAAGGCTAGACGTAATCATAATTCAACTGAAATGGAAATTTGGAAGGAAACGGGAACAAACAATTATTGTAAAATAGTAAAATAAACTTCTAATATATTGTGCATACTACCACCAAACTATATAACACTTTATAGAGCAACATAAGCAAAAAAATGCTGAACTCTAATCAAACATTAGTTATTATCTAGTCAAAAATTAATTCTGAGTTTAAAATGAGTCTGTACCAAAAAAAAAAAAAAAAAAAGTATTTGCCTACTCTATCCCCACAACTAGCTTTAATATGTGATGTTATGTCAGGGAAATTTAACCTTGGATAAGGTTCAAACAGTTCATTTTCTCAAATAATAACAAAAGTTGTGTTTATTTATGACTAGTTATAGTTTCTTCTATGCTTGGGATAAAATCCCATTTTCAGAGTCAAAATCACACAACAGCAAAAGGAAATCCTACCCAGTAAGCTTTTGTTCATAGGGTAGGAAGGAGCACATTCAACACTAGGCTTAGGTTCCACCTCCGAAGACTGGAAGGGCAGTGTAAAAGCTTCTTCCTTGAAGATGGGAAATTCATACCATTTCCCAGAATAGCTAAGCAATATAGCAAAGAGAAAAGATCTGCACACAAGCCCCCCTTGCACGTGAAAGTAGCTAAAGCTGCCACGCATTACTAAGATAATTATCAGAAGAAGAATTCTTTTTTATATATATGAATGAAAAAATAGGACTGAGTATGAAGGAAATCATCAAGGCTGGAGTTCGTCCCTTTATCAACATGTCCCTTTCTCAAGAGAAATACATCAGGTCTGAGGGAAGAAACAGAAGATGTTCCTTCCCTCACAGACCAGATGATGTTCATTACTGGAATGTAGTCATCACCAAAACCCAATGTTGAAGAACTAAACAAAGCAATGATGGATTGGCATCAATCTTACAGATGGTCCCTTCACCAGCTGCCAGCAGTCACTTTCTCCCAAAATGCTGCTCCTAAAGAAACTACTCAGGGAATATTTCCAATTAATTTGTACACATGAAACAGTGCTGGCAAAGAGTGAAGGTGCAGAAGGAACTTAGAATGCCAGTACAGAAGCTTGAATCTTTTGGTAAGCAAGATGTATGACAGCATTTCTGATCCACTGATATTTCAATGGAATCCAGAGAAAGGATAGCCTTTGCAACCAGGGGTACTAACTGAACCATCTGCCTCTCTACAATTTCTTTACACAAGGTGCAAATTTTAAAGTGGAAGTTTCACCTCACTCCTACTCTTTAACAGTCTCAAAGTATTCTAAGGATGCAACAAAAAGACCTGCAGAAGGAGCCCAGGAAAATGCCACATCAGTCTGCAGGTTTTATATACAGATGTTGGAGGATCTTCAGGGCCACCCAGGTGCATGGTGACACCAGTCTTAGCTAGCAAATTGAGGAATGCAGACACCAGATTTGTTGTAGAGGATCAATCACTCTTCTACTCTGGCTATTCCTTCCTTCCTCCTGTTAGATTCTAGGTGGTTATGCAGAAAACAGGTATACCTTGCAACTGACTTTGGGGGATATTTGCCTAAGACATTAATAAGCGATCAAACAATCTTATTCTTATAAGCCAAGCTTGAAGCTCTCTCCTAGAAATGGAGAAAATGGCAGCCCCATTCTTTCTCAAGAGAAGCGGTATCTTGGGAGACAACCTCCACATACCTTATGATGAGCCTCAATAAATTTCCATGAAGGCAGCTGCTGAAGAAGCTCACATGGGCAAATGACAGAAAGTGTTCACCCTTACAATCTGTTTAATGAGCAAGCTGTAGATCTCACATACTAGGAGGGGAAAAAATGCTCTCCCACCCCTTATGCTGACATTCCTGATCCCAGAGCAGTAAGTGACCGCAGGCTTGGCAGCTGACTGAAAGCACAGGGACAGGAGAAATGGTTCCTAGAAGGAGTGCTATGTTTGTTCAGAAGAGCAGTGGTGTAGCAAGGCATGGTAAATTTTATCCTGGCTTTTGAGATGTGTTAACCATTAAAATTTGGCTGGGGGAGAAGATGTGATGCATGAAATGTTTATCACAGCCCACTGCTTAGACAATGGCAATGGGCAATGAGATGTAATTGGTTACTTAGTCCCTGAGACACTGGAGAGGGTAGGGGCGAGCCACTACCTTTCCACCAAAATGTTATTTCTAGTCAAGTTGCTTAGCAGGCAGAAGGTGCTGCCTTCTAGCTCCTGCCTCAATGTGAAGGAGAAGGAAAGGGTGAAGACATTTTCTGCACCAGCTGGAATTTTCCAGCAGCATCTCTTCTACTGATGATGATGATGCTCATATCACACCTTTTCCTCTTGCAAGGAAACCAAAGCTGATTACAAGGTTCCCCCCTTTTCATTTTAAAACTACCCTATGAGGTAAGTGAAACTGAGGGTCTGTGATTTAATCCCAAAGTCACCCCATGAACCTATGGCTGAGAGGAAACTAGAATTTGGATTTTCCATCACTCAGTCCAACACTTTAACCACCATACTACACTGGTTTCTCAGGCAGTTGTATCCTTAGAACATTCTTATTAATGGAATGTAAAAGAAGTAACATACATGGAGAGATGAAAGGGCCGGATTCTAGTCTTGACTGTGTTGGTCATATAAAAAATTGAGCTCCTGATGACAATGCCTGCCTACTACAGACAGGAAGTCAGACCAGGGTTTGGTTAGAAGCTGCTCTTCCATTATTGGAGGTAGGTACTAAACATAAGGTTGAATGTGAAATAGAAATATACTCTGCAAAAAGTATATCATGAGAGACCTACTCAGTTTGTAAGCCAACATAATGCAACATAAGAAGCAAGGTGTAAATCAAATTTCATTGACACATTTGCAGTTTGGTTGCCACATGATACTGATAAATCAAGAAACATTCAAATTGCCACTTGAACAAAGTCCAAGATTTCTTATGCTTTCATTATATATGTTACTGTAAATCTACTGGGCAGTAGAAATATTTGATTACAGAGGCTTGCAGCCAATGTTGAAAGCTAGAATTAAATAAGTATCAACCAGAATTTTCAGTGTAAACATAAAAACATATAAGAGAAATATTTACTTTCACATTGTACCACATCATTCTATACAAAATGTTTTATATTTACTCTGTTTAAAGGTATACAACTGGAGTTTATTTTAATATGTTTTGTAGAATTAATTTTTATGATTTGTTTTAAGGGGAAATGATTTAATCAGCTATAATCCTAGAAATAGAACAAGCAAAAAGAAAAAAAAAACATGTAATGGTAGAAATTCAGTTTGTTTTAGTTCTATAGAACTGAAAAAACCAAGCCACTTCATGCACTATCCTATTTTGTCACAGAACTAGCACTAATGCCATTACACTAGCATAACTACTTGTGCAAAGGCCTGAGTGCTTGCTAGGAAAATTTACCACTGAATTGTGCCCTCAAATCACTGCTTTCCCCTCTTGCCTGGCAAGCACTAATGACAATGCACTAGAATTAATATACATCAGAATGATGTCATTAGCACAAATGTGACAGCGTCTGATGCTGTTGTTTGTGTGCCTTCTACTTGGCCAACTAACCATATGCTAAACACTAAGATGGGCAATTTATGTCCCCAGAATCACTTAGACCTCACTGAAAGAAACTGCTTCTGTAGTGCTCCGTACCATAGTTATATATGAGCTGACAGTACCTGAGCAGGTTGCTTCTTTCAGTTGATACTGTGTTTATCTCAACAATGATTTTAAAAGTCATTTTATTTTATGTTTTATGGAAGTTGTCTGTATCATTCCAATGAAACTTAAGCATTTTACGTTCTCCAGCACCACAGGGCTGTGCAGTCACTACACTTTCAGTAAAGTATTGGGTTTAGGAGAAGTCTGGTGCATATTAAGTCCAGTGTGCATTGGACCTCACCACGTAACTTAAGTTTCACCTTGGTTCCATTGTGTGATGACTGCAAAAGTCACCCAACAGTGGGAGAAAAGGTTCTGAAGATGATTGCAAGAGAAAGAAGATCAATGTAATGGTGCCTAAGTTAAGGGAGGAAAAGGAGAAGTGGGCTGTGCGACTGCATGCTTCCTCCTACCCTGCTCTATTCCTATCACATGCAACTTTTCTTTCTTCTGACCTTTCCCCAAATTAGCCATGATAAAACTCTTGACATGAAGTATATTTAGTATTTGGAACAATTCAAAATAATAGCTTAATCCTTCTCTGATAGAAGCAAAAGCTATCATTCCCTCTCTGTCCCATGTTTGGCTGGTAAATGCTGAACACTAGCAAAACCAGCACCAGAAGAAAGTGCTGAGAATCCCAAAACCATCCAAGGAAGACTGAACATGCTCATTAACCACTGAATATTGATTGTTTCAGGAAGAGAAAATGGAAAACTGGGGTAGGTAGAATGTTTTGGAAAAGCATAACTGAAATCCTGAACAGTAAGCACTTCACACTACAGAGTTTTGTTGCAGCTTCTATATGTTTTATTTATTTTTGTTGCCTTTATTGGTAATTGTTTACAAGAGCTGAGCAGAGTTCTGAAGGACAGGGCATTCCGGAGGGTGCACATTCATAGGGTTGCCGCAACGTGATGGCATAAAACAACCACAAAATGATACTTTTATCAACTATTTGTATGCCAGTTAATGGTTTAAGGCATGGAATATTCAGATTTTGGCAATTTTATTCCAATAACCAAACAGGATTATCCCAAGTTTTCCATTCTTAAAGATATACAGCAAGTACTGAAACATGTTTAAGATGGACTTTCATAGTCAAAAGCCATTTATAGAATTATTTTAAAATCTAGTAATTTAAAATAAAGATACTTTGGTATAATTAAAATAAGGTAGTCTTTTTTTGAAGAATATTAATTTGCACAGGGGTTTTGTCTTGTCTACAAGCCATGCCCCATTTGCAATCTCAAGTATGAGCAGGAATGCAATTTTTGCAAACATTTTGCAGTCCTCATCTAACATTCATCAGGGTATGCACTTGAACAAATGTGCCTTTCTGTCTAAAACTGTTTATTGAATAAACAAACAAATAAAATGGTTTATACCATATTTTCTTGTATTTTATTGCTGCTGTACCTCTAGTTTAATTTTAGTGCAGTTGTTCTGGGTCCAGTACATCTATTTTATTGAAATATTATTCTGATTTGGTTTTATTGCCATTCATATTGTATATTGTGATTATTGTAGATTATAATCTTGTGAACCGCCCAGAAAGCCATTTTTGGCTTATGTGTGGCAAGAAATTAAATAAACAAATAGCTGTAGCTGGAATTCTACTCAGACTTAGGCTACTTAATCTTCAAAACTGCAATCTTCAAAGAATACAGCTCAAATTTTAAAATGCTTTCATTTATTTGACTGGTAATTATATAGGTCAAATTCAAATATTAATTTTAAATAAATAATTACATTAAGATATTTGTGGAAAACAAAAGAAAATAATACTACATAACCAAACTAGTACATTTATCTAAAGTCAACTGGCATACAAAGTTTTAAAAAAAGTCAAACAGGAAAACTCTCTTCAGTATACAAAGCTATCCTTTCATGTTTTTCTGCTTTCTTTTAAAATTATTTAATTTAAGTTGCCACTGTTTTAAGGTTTTTGAAAGTATTTTACTGTTGATTTTATTGTATTTCATTTTATTATGTACCTTAACCTGAGAACTTTAGCTATGGACCAATTCATAAACTGAAGAAGTCTTCCTATTGTGTCTGACTCTTAGGCAAACGTGTGCAGGATTGCAGTTCTAAGTTTTTGCATCTTTATGGAAACACAGGCAAACCACCCACAAGAGATTGTTGTAAAAAAAGCAGGACATGAAGATTGCAAAATGCTCTCCCATTCAAAAAGTTATCTGTGTAGTAGAGTAATTTATAATTTAACAACAACAGTAAAATTAACAAAATAAGTTCCATTCACTAGGAAGCTCATTATATATTGCCAGTTTGGCTCTTTGTATTCTGAACCAAGAGGTAGCTAAGAAAGTTATGCTGTATTTTCTTTTCTATGTATTTTCAACATGGATACTCTATAAGCTTTGGGAGATGATAGAGCAGCATTAAAATCTCAAAAACTGAATATACTAATTTTAAAGAGTAAAGGCTATGAAAGGTAAACAAAAGTACTCTATTTTAAATTATTTCTTACTTATATAATGAGCCCTCCTAAACAATACTAAGACATAGCAAAGCAGCATCCCACCATTGACTGAGATTTGGCTTTGAATCACTTAATGACCTGGTTTGCACAAGATGCTAAGTTAGATTGTAGATGGACGCCAGTGTATTGATGGTCTATAAAACCTTTAAATAAATAAATTGTGAAGATAATGAACATATGTTAGAATGCAAATTAAGCATAGTTGACTATAAAAAGTCCATCTTTCACTTGCTTCAGTAATTTAATTAGTCATTTCAGATTCTATACACATTTAAAATAGAAAATAAAAATATACCACTATAACCGGGATGATCATAGAATGGACTACCTAAAGAACAAAAAGAAAAAGAGATAGTCATTAAGTCACATATATATGAATTCATATTATTCATCAAATCCAGTCTTGAATTTATAGACATCATATTAATGAGTTGGCTATCTGTTTCCAGAAAAGTATAAAATGTCCTTATTTGGATTACACGCAGCCAATCTCACAACAGTTGAATTAACCTCTTTTCCATTATGTGTTGGAAATAACTGATGACTTTATCTTATACTTCATAGATAACATACAATATTGCACAAACAGACTTCCACTTTGTCAACAGGACTTTTTTTCTTCTCCTGCCTCTTGCAGCCCTCCCAAATTTGCTCTAGATGGTTTCCCCTTCCCTCCAGAGCATATTGGGTGGGTGTGGGCTAACCCACTCCACTGATACATGCTGTTCCGTCAATGGATAGACACAACTGGATTTCAACCTAGGGATACATTAATTTAAGTATCAATATTTATAAGCTTACAATTCAGATTTTAACTTGAATGAAAGGGTTTGTACCAAGGAGTTCTTAAGTGTAAAACCCAGCATCTTTCTGCAAGAAATTCACCCACCTATGCACATAGAATTGTCAGGATAATTCTCAGGTTGAAGGATAACGGTCTGAACAGCTCCACTCCATTCATTATTGAATTTGTATATTCAAGGCATGGTGTGCATGCTTTTTAAAGTTGACCAAGAAGCTGAATTTTCAAAGATGACAGAAGAAAGCTTTGGTGTGCAAAACCGAAGTCTGAATCAAGACAAAGACTGTGCATAACCTAATATTTTTGTACAGCAATGAAAATTAAGTTTTTTAGCCTACTACAACTTGAAAAAATAGTGTAACTTGAGAACACTGGACCCCATTTCCATTTATTCCATTGAGAAAAAAATGAAAATATTAAATGGGTTTTACCCAGATTTAATTATATTTAGAATTATTAACCCACTTAAATCAAGGAAACTTAAGCTAGTCATGACTAAGTTTGGATACAACCCAGTGTATTTTTTTCAGCAATGAAGATGAATATTCAGCACACTGTTTTAATAGCATACCAAAAACTTTTTTAGTTAGCAAACTGTCCAGCCTTGTGGGGTAGAAAGAAAGCCCACTATTTGTAATCAGGTGCTTGTGAGGAGTCTCCCATAAACTTGCTTGGCAGACTCTGGGTTGCCTACCTGTAAGTTCTGTCTCATCTGGGGTTGGGAACCAGCATTCCAGGCACTGCTCTGTGGAGGAAGACCTCTGTGAGCTTGCTTATGAGACACCACAGTGCCTACCTGTAAGGCCTGTACCACTTGGCCTTGGCCTTGAGAAGCAGAACAGCCCTTCAAGCTTTTCCAGAAATCAATAGCCCAAGATGCAGTGTTTGTGCAGAAGACCTCTGTTTATGGAGTCTACCTGTATGTTGGAAGGTGACTCACCTCCCTTGGGAAGGAGCACAGGCTTGTAAACTTTGCTTTGTTGTGAATTTTTAAACGTCAAACCACACCCAAAACAGCCAACAAGGAATGCCTGATATATTGTCCAAAGATTCAGATGAGAGCCTATGTCCCTGTACAGGGAAGAAAACCAATTTACATGCCCCACCTTAAATAATCCAGCTTCCCTTGTTATTCAGCTAGCTAATTCCAATACCTTGGATTGAGATTTTTGGAATAAAAGAACACTGCATGTCTTTAGACCTCTATTTGAACCTGGTATTCCCAGGAAAGCCTTATTGGGAGTTAGGTTTTTCCCAATTCCCAGAATGAAACTGTACCTATGGAACACTTTAAATATACTGGGGTGCCATAAAGGATACCCAGAGGAGACCACATACTGTGCTTCCTCTGAGTAGACCTCTTTTTTATATAGTGTTGTAATAGTTCTATTTCTTCACAACATTTTGTATGAATGCACTTCTATTTCTCTTAATGATTGTAATCTGGTTTTATACTTCATTGTAATTATCTCTAAATTTATTTTAACTCACCAACAGAAATAATTATTAAAAGAATAAGAAAGAAATAGAGAGACTATCTCCTTCAGAACTAAAACAAATGGATTTATTTCTTTCAAAATTTCCAAAATTAACCTTGCTTCTCTAATATTACTTACTTTTAAAGGAATTTTGAAATTATACACGGGCTATTTAAATAATCATCTTGACTAATTCTGCGGTCTAGCCATTCTCAGGAAGTACTAAAACCAAACTTTACCTCTGCTATTGTCTACCGAAGATCACTTTTTACTGCATTTATACATATACTATATGGTTAAACATGGATTCCAATTCTTTCCCAGTCACTCAAATTCTGAATTTGAACATTACAGTAAACAACCCAAGGACCAAAGGTCCCTAAATTGTACAGGTACAGCAAGAGCAACTGGGCTGCTAAGAGACAGAAGACAATGGATTGTCAGGACGTAATTGCAGCCAGTGGAGGAGGATGGGTTAAACCCCTTTCTTTCTCCTTACTTCTCCACTTTAGATCTAGTTGCACAACTTGCTTCCTATCAGCACTTCCAACGTTGTTAACTGTAGCTTATTTACTTTGTTCCATAAATAGAATCAGAGTCACTGACAATAAAGACTGCTTTTACTTGCCTTATGGGTCTGTTCCTATACCCCTGTAGTCCTAAATACCTTTCTCAATCATGTAAATATATGACACCAGTATGTTGAAGGGACATCACCGCTACTAGTTATTATATATAGAAATCCTTGTATATAAGATCTTCCTAAAATGCATAGCAGAATGAGTAATTGGCAATGATGTATTACAGAATTCTAATGCATTGGTTGTGACTGCTGCCATCTTTAAAGAGAACAGTTGCATCACTGATCTATGAGACGTCATATTATGAAGATGATTGTTGTATCCAACAGCAAGCAGATATGTTAATCTTGTGGTATCGTAGGTTGCAATGCTATTCATGTTTACCTGGAATAAGTTTCATTGAACCCAGTGAGACTGACTTCTGAGTACATATGTATAAAACTGTACTGTTATTCACCTTTGTTTCAGTCCTGGAAGTATTTGACAGTGATAAAGTATCACAGAATCAATTCTATCTCAAGGAGGATATCCCTCTTCTTAAACATCCAATGTGACATTTAATGCTAGCACGTAGGCATGGAAATGAATAGAATACCTGGGTGTGGATCTAGTTTTTATGCTTCATTATGTTGTACATGCAATTTGCAATGACAGTGCAGACTAACAATAGCCATCAAAGACATGCTAATGTTCCAAGACTGAACTGTATTTATCTTACAGAGCAACAAAAGCGTGAATGTAAGCACAGCAGATTTTATCTTTTACATTTGTATTTATTTCCATGATGAAGGAAGGTTGAATGAAAGTGAATAAAATGAATAGTTTATATGACAGATTCAACAGTGTGCTAAAAATAAAAAATAGAAACTGCTTTTGAGGAGGCTTTTCAACAAATCTAGTTTAATTCTAATTTGTTTTTTATTACTTATTGATATCAACAAACCACCTAAGAAAGTAATTTTTACTTAGGAAATTTCAAGTTTTGTCCTAGCTAAGCTGCCTAACAGTAGACTTGAACAAGCAAGCTTCCTGGGTATCATGTATTTTATCCAAGATGCCTACATTCTTTTGGGCCTTCATTTCCAGATAATCCCAACTGTCCCAGTCTCAAACTGAAGTCTTTTCAGGGGGCTTGAAAAGAATAGAAAAAGAAACAGAGAGTGGCCCCTTCCTATTCTAGTTCCTTGCCGCTTAGCCAGCAACATTTTAAATCAAGTTATACTGAAGGTAATGGAGGCTTTATTAATGCCAATTCAATGTGATATTAGCTGCATAGTAAAATAATACACAATAGTTATTTAGTTTAGACTTCTCTTTGCTAGACTAAAGGTATAAAAGCATCATTTGCATGCTAGCCTACAGCTTCTTATCTGCAAACAATAACACCTCCCTAGCTACTGGGCTCCAAGGCTTTTGGCAAGTCTTTATTTTTATCCTCATCCAACCCCCCTTCCTATTGTGTGCTGTTCATGGTCGCTTTGCCTTTTCTGGGGAAGCTTTAACCAATTAGTTTGCCAGTTTTAGCCTTCTGGCATATTAAGTGCCCATTAAAGTCTATTTATCAAGCATGAGAAGTTGGTTGTTATTTTCCTTCTTTTCACAAGCTGGTACTGCAACAATCTGAATGATTCAGGAAAAGTTAGACCTATGATGGAGAGCTCAGTGGTGCCCGTTATTGAGATATTAAGATTTTTAGCATGCTCCAGTGGCCGACCCAAAGTCTATGATGTCATTCTACTAATAGTATCTTTGTGTTGACGCTACCTGTTCCTCTCCAAAGTAGAACAAAGCAGAAGTCCTGTAACTTACAAATGGATTATCACATGATCTAACAACCCTAGCAAAGTAATAATAAAAGAAGAGATGATGGTGGTAAGGGAAATGACAATGACGACAGCGATGGCAAAGACATCATTCATAGTCAGCCAAGGAACTGAAGGCAGCTTACATAACCCTCTTCCTTTCCATTTTATCTTCAAAACAACCCTGTTAGGCTGAGATGACATGACTGGCCCAAAGTCATCCACTGAGCTTCATGCCTGCATGAGGACTAGCCCCTGGGTTTCTCAAGTCTCAGTCCAGCACTCTAACTGCTATCTTACACTGGACATAACTGGCATCACTGAATTAAGTAACCTAATTTAATTAAAATCACAAGAAGACATAATAAATTGTGCTCTAATTAGCTGCAAAGGCACCTGAAAATGAGAAAACTTTAAGTCTTTGTCCAAAGAAAAACAAAGTTGGTCATATAAATTGAAGCTAACAGCACGATGTCTAATCCTCAGAAATATAACACCTGATCCATGCTCCTGCTGCCCAGCTCTCTGCAAAAGTAAGGGATTTACATCTAATCAGCTGTGAATAAAGAGGGAGGCAGGATATGGAGGAGGGGAAAAGCAAAGTACCATGCAAAGATCCACCCAACTATTTTCTCTCCAGGGCCCTGGTCTAAAGGTTAAGAAAAGAATGTCTTAATTAACAAGGATATTGCAGTGCAAAACAAAACTTCTCAATTTAGTAGCATCCATAACCTAGTTAATACCAGTTGCAGTTTGCATCTTTATAATTAGCATCTTGCACTTGCAACTAGTCAATGTCAAAACCTCCATAAATGAGCAAGGTTGAAGTAAAAGTTAACAAACAAATGAATGAAACACTAACTGCTCTCTGTGGACATTATTGCACTTTAACTTTGCACACAGTGCAAAGAATAAAAAAGTGTACTTTGTATAATGATTTTGGTTATTTGGGAAAGTTACATTACTGGTTCAACAAGACTGACCAGGGATATATAGTTTATTTCACCATGAAACATTACTGTGCTGTCTACTAAAAAGGAGGAATTCTTCAAGTTTGGATTTCTTTACTTTTCAACTTTTAAACAATGGACAAGTTTGCACATTATGTCAACCTATCATAGCAGTTGACTATGATGGGCTGGTAACTGCAAGAACAACCCAAACTGTGCTCAACAAACGGCAAGGTTCACCAGGGGATTTTATCCTCCCCGTTCCCCCTCAGTCTGTCAGCAGGCATCCCAGGATATTTTGCAGCTAAAGCTCCCCTCTCTGCTATGATAAGGAGCCATTTTGGTTCACCATGGCATTTTCTCCTGTTGCACCTTTAAAAAAATGAACAAAGAAAAAAATTCCCCATTTTATCACTGTGACAGCCAGTGAATGCCCCTCTAAACTGGCACTTTGGAGGGGATTACAGTGGTTCATTCCCTTTTTGTTTTTAAATGTGTCAAATGCACAAAATAATTTTATTCATTACACCATTTCAGAGTTTCAGGTACAAGCATATCCACAGGTGCAAAAATGGGCAGCTTCAGGGGTAACTACAATCAAAATACAGCAGGTATCAAGTACTAACATTGACCCAGAGAGACTCCAAATAGGCTTTGGCTTTTTTTTTTTAGCTGTCAAAAAATACAGGCATATATCCTTGTGAAGAAACCATGGGGTCAGCTGTCAAAAATCCCTTTTTCAAAGAAAACTGAGTTTTATCAGTCTGCTATCAAACTACCATGCTTCCACACAAGGGGGTGGGGTGCATTTTTCCACCCACCCAAACACCTGAAGTCTTGGGAATGGGTGGAAAAATTGGTAGCACTGGGACATATCAGGGGACAGCAAAAAAACCCTTAAGAGTCCTACTGCTGAGAAGCAATTAATCCCTCCCCTATTGTCAAGCAAAAAGCACTGATGTTTTGAGCTGACAACTCACTTTTGGACAGTTGTCAAGACAAAGAAAAGCACATCCCCCCAATATTTGGAGCCTCTCTAGGTCAATGTCCACAGTATCTGCTTCATTTTGACAGCAGTTACCCCCAGGACATTCCTAAGTGCGGCTGCCATTTTTGTACCTAGGAAACGTGCTCATCTGCACATTCAAGAGGAGCATGATTCTGGCTAAGAATCTTTTTTAAAAAGCAAGTTAATGCAACATTTGGAGTGCAAAAGATCTTCTAAAAGGGAAGCTGTACTATTGACAGTCCATACAATGTGCAACCCTGGCATTTTGGTGGGACTCTAGGTGTCTGTCAACAGTTGAAAAGGGGAGGGAAGCCATGGTGAACCAAAACAAATTCTGATCATGGTGACAACATAAACACACCATGCCACTTAGCCAATAAAAGGGTGCCTGGCACTGACTGTGGCATGAAAAACCTCAGCAGGAGCATCAAGAAATTTTTTGTTGCTCTTGCTGAGTGACTTGCACTTCATTGCCCATAACACATGGTAAGGACAGTGGTCTGAGATCAAATGACACACCTTCCCTCCATGAATCAAACAAACCCTACAGCAGACCATTGGGTCTCAGGGTGAGTTGTTGGAAAAGCAGCAAACCACTCTGAGGAAAATGGTCTGGTTTCAGATGATATAAAAACCCACCATAGCTCACTGCCCTTGGTGGATTGCCATGTCATGTGAACCAAGGCCAACATGACTGTATTAACAATAACTGGACTTTTTTGTCACTTAATGGATTTTATATTTTTATTTTATTAAAATATGGCAAAACATAAGAAAGACAAAAGCTAATTTTCACTTTCAATAGCCTTATTAAAACAAACTATAACCTCTTCTAAATGTGTCAATAAAATAATATTTTAAGTATTATTATTATTATTACTTACTACCTCCAGGATCTTCCATAAAATAAGCTGAAATGTTGGCTTCATCTTTTCCATATTGATTCTGTGCCACCAAGGTATAATTGCCGTTGTTCACATGAGTAGGGTTGTCCAGTTGAAGGCAGCCATGGTATTCAGTCTGATTGATAACATGTATTTTAGTCCAGATATAGTCCGATTCATTCAGCTTAACCCCATCATGCAACCATGTCAGGACAGGTTGTGGATTTCCTCTCACACTGAATGGAATACACCAGTGGTGGTCCGGATATGGCATTTCAAGAAATGTGATATTTGGTGGAACTATATTAAGAACAGTAAATGCAGTATTAATATCCCATACCTTCTCTTCTTTGCAAATTTATCAGCTTGGTTTAAATAATTAAAGCCAAGAACTGGATGAAAGGCAAAATATAAATGCACTGAATGAATGAATTCCGATAGTAAACTTGTTTCATTTTTCATGTAACTATTAATAAAGGAACTCTCTAGGGCAAGGTATACTGACCACTCCAGCAGAGCTGAGGAAAGTTGGGAATCCAACATCATTTGGAGTCCTATAGGTCTCTACCTCTGCTATTGAGTACTTTATAACATAGTATGTATTGTGCTTTCATTCTTCACTTTTTGGCACTGACTTGTTACCTTTCTATCATCAATGATTTCTAACTTATGTCTATTTTATTTAAACTTTAATGCTCCTCACATTTAACTCCAGTTCCTTTTCTGAATCTACTATGATATTAATGTAACTTCAACAAATTTTCTAAATTGCATTTAAAGCAGACTTTGACAAACCAGGAAAAGCAAAACTTTTATAGGAAATGGAGCCTCATTTTCTTAAAATGTTGATCCATGCATATTTTCAGAAACCAAAGATAGAAAGAAATGTGGAATTACGATTGTGAATTATCTTGCTTTATGCCTGAGAGGAGAGCATATCTGTACCATGGATCAATTCACCTCAGTCAACTATAGAATAATGGATAATCAAAAAGATATCCCCTAGGTGAATGTCATGTATTTCCTGCCAAATCTCTTGCTCACAGGCCTCATATGCACAATAAACACAGGAAACCTTATTGAGAGGAAGTGATAACTACACCTATATATATTTAATGACAATTCAGAAACCTAGATTTATACTCAGTGCTGATCCACTCCTTGCAAGTATGCAACAGCAATGATGGGAGTGTAGCAGCACGATTGGAATACTGCCCATTGCATTGAAATCCAGACCTGATTTGCTTTTCTTGTCTAGGAGAAATAAAACAAGTGCACACTTTGGTAGCATTTTGGTTGGTCCTAACTAAAGTATTGTACAGTTACTGGTTCAGGGTTCTCAAGGATATTTTTTGTTTGTTTGTTTTAGTAAATTATATAGCTTTTTGAAGTAGGCTTGAAAGACATTTTAAAACTGTAGTTCTCTGTTGATGCCATTTGATTATGATTATAAATTTTGCACCTAAAATTTTGCATAAAGTTATTTACATACAGAACACCGTGAGGTCAACAGAATCTTGGTCTTCGCCCACACTGTTTTCTGCTACACAATAAATCTGCGCACCACTGTCATTTGATGAAGCATTCTTTATGGTTAGAGAAGCTGGGTTCTTATTTGTATCACTCTGGAAGGGGAAAAAAACCGAAGAAATAAACAGGTTAGCAGCGCTTCTATGAGTCTCCTAGTACAGTCATCTGCATATTGCTAATGCTAAGAAACTAATTTAATCATAGACATTTATAAAACATCCGTTAAACATCAACAATGTTCAGTTTGTAAGTTTACAGTTTTGTATCTGTCTACATGTTCCATTTTTACCAGATAGCATTCCCACAGGAGACATAGAAGAAAAGGAACTGGGGACCTATCAGCCAACCAACCATGACCCTTCTTTTGCTGAAGACAATGTCCATATGCTGTTCACATCCCGCTTCCTTCATTTCATGAGCATTCTGATATTATTGCTCTCTACAGGACAGGATAATAGAGGTTTGGTGGGACAAAGAGGTGGTGGTTGGAAATTGCTTTCATACTCAATTATTCTCAGAATCTTATACTTCCAATGCTGGTTGATTCCATTTAATCTACTTTTGGGCCCATGCCACTTGGTTGCTTGAGCTAAGACAATCCCGTAATTGTAAAACATTTGCTCTGTGGAATGTTCAAACAGATAAAAACCTGCCCCTTCAAGAAAAAGGCAATCCTTCCATCTTACAAATCCCAGTATTGCTTGCATCACCAACATGGAACATTCCAAACTGCTGGGTAACACAGACTTCTCTGTCCTGATTCTTCCAGGAATATTCAAAGCAATGAGAACCAAAAATACCCAGTCTTTCACAGGATTTTGCCAATGCCCCCTTTTCCCCTTTGGAGGCAAAAACTGCCATCCTCCTTTTTCTCAACTGTTGGTATCCTACTATTATGGACTTCTATAGTTAGGGCTGGCACCTTAGAACCCGAATTTTACATTACACCTTTCCTAGCATCATCATCTTCCCATTCTCACACACTTGGGAACTTTGAGATCCAAAGTTAAAAACGACAGTCCAGATTTCATTGCTGTTTGAAAAAATAGAATTAGGAACTCCAACAGCTGTTTGGAATGAGAATACCAAACAAGACAGGACATAAGTCTTCTGAGAAGAAGCTGGAGCAAAGAGTCTTGTCCCTTCAAGCAACTCCTAATTTGGTACAGCATGTTGCTACCATTTTTAGAGAAAAGTAGTATCTTGAAGCCCTTAAAACAGCACATCTAGGTAGGCTCTAATTTTTATTCACACCTCTTAAAACTTTACCTTACATACGAAACCAGCAAGAGATGACTTTTGACATTGCGCACACATCTCTGCAGCCAACAATTTTTAAGTGGGCTCAAATGCACTTGATGCAGGATCAGCGCTCTTAACTGTATACCTTTGCTGATTAGTCACTAAGCACTGAGCTTACCTTCCTGAATTTGTCTACCAAGTTACTACTCCTTTTTTTTCTACTCACACTTTTGAAATCCTCCTATCATAAATCTATTTAGGCTTTCAGCTCATTTTCCTAACTATCAACACTGTTGTTCACCTATTTGCTAGGGACAGGTATCCTTTTGCCCTCTGAAAGGGAAGATTAATGACAAGTTTATACCATGCTGTCCTTATTACAGCCATTAGATAAAAGCAGATATATACAGCTCTCTATGGAAGTGTAACAAAATCCTGCCCCTCTCTTCAGGCCTCAAGGGAGGGTAGGGGTCTTCTCTCATCTGCAAACACTTTGGAGCAAGCAGGGTAAATGTATTGCTGGAAACTTTGGTGAAGGAGCATGCAACCTCTTCTTTCTTCTGTAAGGTTTCCTCCAAGCCAGGTAAGTCCCCCCACCTTTGTTAAGCCTTCTAGCTTTCAGAGGGCTTGGAAGAGCAGAGGATTTGTCTCAAAGAATTTTTTAACAAAAGAAAAGTAGCAGCAGTTATTCTGCTTTTTAAAACCTCATGTACACTATAGGAAAGACTTCTCTTCAGTGTTTGCCTGAAAGCTTGAGAAAGAATCTGGGAAAAGTTTGAGGGGGGGTTCTTATCGTCATACCAACCCTCTGCACTTGCCAAAAAATGGTAGGGGGAAGAATTGGAAGTAAAGGCAGAGATTTGGCTAGTAAAAAAAAAAACCTGCTGTTTGAAAATACATAACATTTTTTAAAAATCATGAAAGTGATTTTGGAGCCTGGGTATAAATTTAAGAAATATATCTTGCAAGTAATTTTAGGGCTGTCTTTCAGTGATTAAGTACCTCAGTAAGTATCAATAAGTATCAAACTATTCTGTTTTAAATATGTCTTAAAATTAATACATGAAGATTAAGCAGAAAGGCACTACTCTGAAGGGTTTGCTGTCCAAAAACAAAATAAAAATCTTCTGTAGTTAGAATATTATAGAAAAGTATGCATATGAATTATAAGTAGCTTAAAACACCTGGGGATTATAAGAAAAAGCTCCAGTCAGTACAAAATCCTACCATTCAGTTTCTTCTTTTAGGACAGTAGTACTTCCCTTACACTTACTAAGGCTATGAAATCATAATTCCAGACACACAAACTGATTGAAAAAACACCCACATAGACATAAAGGGAAATGCAGTCTACAGAAATACATTTAAAGACTATATATGAAGACAATATGGTACTCTTTATCTTGTCCTAATCAATATGAATGCATGGTAAATCAATCAGGATACCAACAGGAGGGGAAGATGGATCAAGTAGTATTTGTACCTCACCTAAATAGTTGTCTGTGCTTTTATATACAGAAGCCTAGCTCTCACTTAAAGAACAACAGCAATACTTTGGTTAGGTTAGTATCCTAACATGTTTTTAAGTTTCAGGTTAGGTGAGTAAAAGGTTCAGGTGAGTAAAAGTTCAAAGCGAATTCTCACTGAATTATAGGTATATTATTATTAGTCACTGTTATGATTAAGAGTTAACAGCAGCGCATGAAGATTTTGGCTGGTGATCTTAAATCCTGCTGTTCTGTTTTATCTGGACCCTGGTAACATGAGACTAGTAACCACACTTACTCATCAAAAGCAGTGAACTTCATTGCATCTGATATGACCTTTAAGCAAAGACATTAAATGACAACCATCGACACATCCTAATATTTTTGCCAATGTTCCTATCAAATAAATGCATTTAAAATATGATGTAAAGAATGATCAGATCTTGAAGAAAAGAAATATTTATCTGAGAAGCTGCAGATTCTGCCTGTTGAAACATATTTGTGCCTGCTATGGAGGGAGAGGGAGCCGTCTAGGACCATCAGTGCAGAAAGGAACGAAAGCCCACATTTTGGATAGTCTGGCACTTTTATGTCCTAGGGATTTCATCCTGTCTGACCTCGTATCATGATGTCTACCTGGTAGTAGCACATGACATAAAGATGAAGATACCTTTTGAGTCATTTGAGGGATTATAAGGGAAAGAGCTTTCTAAGCCTCACTAAACTTGAGTGGTATCTTCCACTGTCTCCAGTTTAGGCTTCAGATTGTAATAGTTTTACTACAGATCGGGGTGGCCATACATGTGCCACATGTGGTAAATGTCAGATGTTTGTAGCAGCAAGAGGGTGCCCATGGGTGGCAGCGAAAGGCAAGTGGGCACCAAGCCACAAGCCGTAAAATAAACTCAGAGTCATAAGCAGTTCCCGAGCCTCTGCTTGGCCACCCTTGCTATGGATGTTGGACAGTCACTAAGTGCCAGGGCTGGAAAGCTGTTTTCTGGAATTTCTGATTTAGTCCTTGGAGCTATAGGAAATTTGACCTTCTGCAGATTCCCAGCATTACCCTATGAGGTTTGCATTGTGTTACAACTGGCACTTTTCACATCAAGCAGAACTCGGACTTGGGAAGTAGGAAAAGTCACCTATGTGAACTTATGTGAAGCCTCTTTAAGTGTGTATTCACCGTAGTTCTGCATGTAAAACTCACAAATCTCTCTACTCCTGGAAAAGTACATACTGTGCTGTTCTACCCTGGGTTATAAGTAGGTTTTTGCAGAAAGGAAGGCAACAAAGAAAATTAACTATACATAGTTCTTCAAAACTTAAGCACTGCCTTGGCAGATCCACATATTTTAATATAATATTCTTACCTCATGTTTTGAAACAATATTACTGAGAACCCAAGCTATACTTGGTGCTGGAGATCCTGTAGCTTCGCAGTACAACGTAACACTTCTTCCTTCAACAACAGTGAGGTTTTGTGGGTTCAGCCTAACTGAAGGCAAGCCTATGAAACAAGGAAGTGCTGTATTTGCCACAAATTCCACAGATACAGTATATGCATATCAGCTGTCATAAATTATTTGATATATTTTGGCAGAGAATTTTTGCTCTCACCACTAGTGGTAAAAATGAAAATGCATACCAGAACCATATAAATATATCAGCAAAGATTTTTTTATATAATAGCTGTCTTGACCCAATTTATCATTAAAATAAAACATCTAATACATAATTAAAATAAATCTTTAAAATAAAATATTTATCTTCTCTTTACAGTGAATTTTATGTGGAATATTTTACTTGAACTGAAAAACGCCAACACTGAAACTACTGGGCTGCATTCAATGGTAGTTCTACTTAGAGTAGCTCACTGAAGTGTATGGAATTTTAGTAAGACTAATATTGGATACAACCCACAGATAGCTTTAAATACATTTCAAGGAAGGACATTAAAGGGAAAAGAGAAATAGAAAAAGAGTCATATTTAATAGCAATGCAGAACTTACCTCTTTTTAAGTGTTTATTGTTTTCTGAACTTATATTTAATGCAGCCTTTCCCATCTTACTATAGTCTATCTTTGACAATTTCTAATTCACAGGCACATCTTTATTGGATGTGCCATGAAATGTAATCAGCGGAGATCAAAGCCACTCCACTGCAAATTCTAGGATCCCATGGTAAAAGCTTCCCATCAATTTTGCCAAATCAACATTTCAATACATAAGAGACTTCCAGGAGCTTGTAGAATGCACTACAGAATATTACCTCATATCAAACCCCACGAGGTACTGTTGGTTTTAAATTATGGGTCACACTTGATTATAAACTAAGGATTATTTACACTGAACCTATCTGTGGCATTGTGTACATCATGACTCTTTGTTGTTTCTAATTAAAATTTTATTTTCAAGAGGGAAGCCAAATGGGATTTTGCTGGTAACTTTTTTGAATGTCAAATATGTGGCTTATAGTAGCTCAGACAACTTGTTTTCTCTTTCTACAACAATAAAAATAGTGCAAATGTTAACTTCTAGACTTGATACCACCCTTGCCACTTTGCTAAGCAAAGTGCATTATTGTTTCCTAAGAAACAGTGAAGTAAAAATGTTAAATGTATTGGCCACATTTTGCATGTAGCCAAAATAACCACATGCAAAGACAATCAAAAGATGCACCCATAAAATTACTGTATATTAATAATGTGTCAAACAAGCTAACAAAAGATAATGCTACCCATCCTTCCATCCTGTTACTCATTAGCTGAAGGCTTCCATTCAAAGTACTGACCAAACTGTACCAATGAGGAAGCTTTAGAGTTAAGTGTTGTACAAATGAACACTTGATTTTACAAAAAGCAGAAACATACTCTTGTCCACTGTCATGAAACTTTAGAAGAGACAAGACTTTTAGCAAATTCTTTAATTTAAAAAGAAAAAAGAAGCAAGTCCAGGAGATGTAACCATAGCTCTTCCAATCTGTTGAAATCCAAGGTTTTCACAACCTAAAATTAACACCTGGAAATGTTAAAAAAGTGGGGATCATCACCTTGCAGTTTGAATCAGAGAATTACCTCTGCATCTGTAACTAACAGTGCTCAAAACTTGCTGTCTCCCTGTCTCTGATTTGCTTGCAGTCCTCCTCCTCCCCTGGAACTTGAACTCTTCAACTCTTTTGCAACATAAAATTAGATTATGTATCTAGATTACATAATCCTGACCTGGGAGAGGGAAAGATATGCTATCCAGTCCCATACACATTTCTGCAAGTCCCCTCTAATGGGTATAACATTCCTGGGCAGTTCTGCTATTACCTAGCTATTCAGAGGGTTTCCACTTGCTATACAGCCAGTAATCTCTCTAACAAAAGCAAGACAGGGGCAGTAAGTTTAGACAAATTTGAGCAATCCAAGTTTGATTAAAGCTGCTGGTTTTAATCTATTAAGCAGGGTTTGGCTGTTCCATTTTCATGGAAGCAATGCCTGTTTCATCCTCATGTTGGAATCCCAACATGATCCCACCAGACACTACAATCAGCAGTTAGAGGCTTTCCTGAGTGAGGGAGGTAACAAAGGAAGTAGTCTTTTCAAGAGTGCCCTGCCCCCAGAAATTGGAATGAACTCTCCACTGAGGCCTGTCATCTTGTTAATGCAGGTTAAGATGGTCCTCTACTCCCAAGCATTTAACAGCATGTGCTGGAGTATTTCTATCTGCTGTCTTAAATACGTCTATGCATTGGTATTGTTGACTGAAAAATGCTTCTGTTGTTTTAAATGTTGCGAATTTACATTCTATACTGTTTCAAGCAACGCTGTATAATGTTGCAGTTTATAAAGCTGTGTTGCATGATATTGGGTTTTTGAATTGTTTTGAACCATTCAGCTATTAGGCACTACACAAATGAAATAATGAATAAATGATGATGATGTAAAGCTAAATGTTTCATGAATTAAAGTGATCTGAATTAATAGTCATTTCCTCTATATTACCTTCAGATGTGAATGCCACTGGCTCATATAGCCAAAACAACGTAAGAGGGAGTTATCAGCAGGCTTGGAGGAAACTCAACCTTTGCAGAAGTACAACAAAGCATTAGGAACATCTTAACAAATAAAACTTCCCCAAACATTGAGTGTTGGTCACAGAATGCCGACAGACTGCTGCAGCAAAAAACAAAACACCGGCAGGGAAAGAAAAAAATGCAGAATCCCGGGGAAAGGCATAGTTCCTTTACTGCACCAGTGAGTAAGTGAATTCCACCTTGCAATGTCTTTTTGCAGGCCCCACTTGTACCATATAAATAGTTTGGTCAAAGAAATTTAGTGAAAACTTGAAATTTCACAGAAATTTAAATAGAAATGAAGGGACACATAATAGAAAAAAAAAAGGCTAAATCACTGTGTAGCTTATTTGCTTGGCTACCAAGATTTCAAAATGAGCTCTTTACTAAGCTTGTACAACACTACAAAACTTTATTTTTTTTCTGTATTTTGGTCAGCTTGCAAAACTGTAGATGAGCTATTGAAAGAAGAGTGTACCTCCGGATATGGCCATCTGTCAACACAAGTGCCCCTCAGGTTTTGCTTATTAATTCAAACCTCAGCACAACAAGGCAGGAAACCAACCCAAAGCCATGGAACATTTAGATATTAATTACACTGAATTGTAAACAGGCAGAAGTAATAAGATATTTGATGCAGGAAATCACCTCCAACACCAATTCTGAAAACGATTTGACTCTCATTGCCCTATTGGATTCCAAGAGAGATTTCAGAACCTAGGCTCCTTTCTGGAGTGACATGTACTTCAAATAAAATCTGCATTCCATCTGCAAGTGATGTGAAGTAAAAGCTTCAAATTGCAAGTCTGCATTCTATTTACAATATTCAAAAGCAACCTATTAAAATAATTATTCTCCAGTCAAAAAGAGGCTCTTGTATATCCCACCCCTATTTCTTGAATATCTTCTTACATATTCCACCCCATCTGAGACAACCTTCTTTGATGGTACTCTGGTTTTGCTAACTTGCCTGGTATTTTCGGGAGTTCTTCCTTTGGATACAGCCCCTTGTTTCTGCACATTTATCTGCTGCTTGTTTGTTTGTATTTACACTGGCTTGGAGCCATAGTTCTGCAGAACAGAATACCATAAACTGGATGATCTCCTGGGGCAAGAAGTGATTTTTTTACAAGTTAGCCCTCCCTACTGCAGCTCCTTAACCCCCTCCCTCCAGTCTGATCTTGGGTAGGGAGTTGAAAGACCTTCCAGAAGAGTGTAAAGTAGTGCTAAGGGCTGTTGTTGTTGCTGTTGCTAGTTGCAATGTCACATCCGACCTATCACGACCCCATGGACAACATTCCTTCAGGCCTTCCTGTCCTCCATCATCCCCCGGAGTCCACCTAAGCTCACACCAACTGCTTCAGTGACTCCATCTAGCCACCTCATCCTCTGCCGTCCCCTTCTTCTTTTGCCATCTATTGTTCCCAGCATTAGGCTCTTCTCCAGGGAGTCCTTCCTTCTCATTAGGAGGCCAAAGTATTTGAGTTTCATCTTCACTATCTGGCCTTCTAAAGAGCAGTCAGGGTTTGATCACCTTGCAGTCCAAAGGACTAGCAGGAGTCTCCTCCAGCACCACAATTCAAAGGCCTCAATCCTTTGGCGCTCAGCCTTCCTTATGGTCCAGCTTTCACAGCCATACATTGCAACTGGGAAAACCATAGCCTTGACTATACGCACTTTTGTCGGCAGGATGATGTCTCTGCTTTATCTGACCATTAAGCCATGTTCATTTGCAATTAAATATAGACATTACACTGTCCCTTCCTACTTATAACCAGGCTGTTCCTCTTGTATGAATTGTACAGGGTTTTGCAAAGATTAGCATTAAAAGAGGTTGTTGTTGTTAGTTGTGAAGTCGTGTCCGACCCATCGCGACCCCATTGACAACATTCCTCCAGGCCTTCCTGTCCTCCACCATCCCCTGGAGTCCACTTAAGCTCACACCAACTGCTTCAGTGACTGCGTCTAGCCACCTCATCCTCTGCCGTCCCCTTCTTCTTTTGCCATCTATTGTTCCCAGCATTAGGCTCTTCTCCAATGAGTTCTTCCTTCTCATTAGGAGGCCAAAGTATCTAAGTTTCATCTTCAGTATCTGGCCTTTTAAAGAGCAGCCAGGGTTGATCTCCTCGAAGACTGACTGGTTTGATCTTCTTGCAGTCCAAGGGACTCGCAGGAGTCTTGTCCAGCACCACAATTCAAGGGCCTCAATTCTTCGGCACTCAGCCTTCCTTATGGTCCAGCTTTCAGCCTTATTGCAACTGGGAAAACCATAGCCTCGACTATACGAATTTTGGGGGCAGAGTGGTATCTCTGCATTTTAGTAAGCTGTCTAGATTTGCCATAGCTTTCCTCTCAACGAGCAAGCATCTTTTAATTACTTAGCTGTAGTCACCGTCTGCAGTGACCTTGGAGCCCCAGAAAATAAAATCTGTCCCTCTAGTCCCTCC